TATACTTTATATTAATTTATTAACCTGTATTCATAATATAAGTATATATAGTTCAGGCTATTGGAAAATCTTACAGCATCAGTTAAAGAATCCAAATGTGAAACTGGCAGAAATTTTATAAACAAAATAATAATTATTACTTTAAAATAATTTTTGTTGGCCACAAAAGTGGTAATTTATAGAGCATTGCTGAATACAGGGAGTTTGGGTAGCTACCCCAATTCCCCCAAAATAGTGTGGTTATGAAACAGCACTCTGGAATCAGAATGTAGTTGAGAATGGAAAGAAGTTGCCACCTCACTTCACGAAGTCTTGGCCCGTATGGTCTCAACCTCAGCCTTATTGGAACATGCTCTAATTATCCAAACCAAACAGCTGAAAGGCAGCAGAATTAAAACCCAGAAGGAAATTCTATCTGGTGCAGACTCAGACAATTAACTGGCCTAGTATTACTCTTTAAAATTGGATGGGAATAATTCCAGCATCATTGGGATTTCGTTTGCATCTATCCTTGATTCTGCGAGTTTTGTTTCATCCCCTCCAAATGCCTCTGAGCAGCTTTGTGATGTGCAGTCAGCTGATGCCTCTTTGTAGCTCCATAGTTGCTCATTAATCTGTGGTTTCGAGAGAGACTTCTCAGGATAGTCATTCTTGTGAATTAAATCTGAAAACTTAATTGAGCAAGAGTGACCTATTAGCAATGGTCGTGGGATATTGTTTAGAAAAACCAATTGTGTATTATTTTACTTGGCAGAGAGTTAAAATATCCAAGTGGTAGTTTACAAAAGAAGTTGCAGCTGACCCTTGACTATAGTTTTATTGGCAGATTTTGCTAAATTACGTACTTTTAAGTCGAGCTTACTGTGAATGCCTTATCTCCCAATATAGCAACTGCTTTCCCTGTTACAGGGTGTATCTTATTGTCTGATTCCTTCAGTTAGCCGTAGTGGAATATATCATAACCTGGTTCATGACTGTTCGGTTTTTCCCCCAAACATTAAGTATTACCTTAAATATTACCTAATATGAGTTACCAATATTCATCAACTAAGGTAAGTTACAAAGTCAGAAGAAAACATAGCGTTAGTACTGAGCCAGTGAGCACCGACCTCTGTGGAGAGCGTGGGAGATTTGAGTAGCTCATGTCTGTGCAGGAGTGGAGTGTCCCAGATCTGGGTGAAAATTGCTTCACAGTCTTCTCTTTCTGCTGCTTTAATGATCTGGAGGTTTACTTATTTCTAGTCCCTGTTTGCTGCTCTCAGCACAGTGGTATTGCACATTTTCTGGTTCTCTTTGTTGGAGAGTGAGAGGATTTTGTAAAATGTGCAGCCTGGGTCCCTGAGGTCAGTGCCAGCTGGAATTCCACCGAGCCTCACCTAGATCTTTACCTGGAGAGTTACGATGTTTACCCAGAGGAAAATTAAGATCTAAAACATTAGCTTGTTCTTTTCAAACTTAATATGATAAATACTATTAAAGATGAAAATCTCCCAAAATTGCTAAGGTTATTGAGTTCTATTGAGTGACCTACTTTTTTCCACCAATAGTGTGACAACTATTACTGGTATTACTGTTCAGTGAAGGACACTTGGAAACCCCCACAAAGGCCCTTCCGGTGCAGTTACAATGCTGTGCCTCGTGACTTCTGTGCCTTACGTGAAGGTCTCTCTGGCTTCCTGTGTGCCCGTAGCAGAGTAGACTCTTTCTGCCTGGAGCTGCCACCTCTGAACTTTTTCACTACAGCACCTGTCTCACAAGCTAAGGACTCAGTTTCCCTTAATTCACTACACCTTTGTCGATGCGATGCCGTTCTCTTTCCTGAATGCCATTATTTGTGTTCGTTTTACTAGAGGAATTTCTGTATGTAGTCCCACCGACTTCCCTTGTGCTGGAAATCTGCCCTTCCCATAGCTCTTTCAGGAGCCTGCCGGAGCCCTGCATGAATGCGGCCCCTCGTCGATCCTGCAGGACCATGCATCCATTAAGCATTCAGGGAGCATGCTCTGCTGGCCCCTGTGCTAGATGCCGTAAACACTGGGGATGAGTTGAGGGCCTTAGCCAGGCTTCCTAGGGAAGACACAGGGAAGAGGCTCTTGCACTGCCCTGAGAGAAATGTAGCTCTGGGAACAAGGCGAGGGTCACCCCAGCTAATTTGGGAAGGTCAAGGTGGACTTTCTCTAATGGTTTTCCATTTTATTATCAGTGCATGTAGAACCTCTTATCACAGTTTATTGGCTGTTTTGCCTTTGAGATTTGAAACATGTTACTCCACCTGACCCATGAACAACTCCAGGGTTGGAGGCATAGAACCCTGCACAGTTGAAAATCTGCCTATAACTTTTGACCCTACAAAACTTAACTAATAGCTTGCTTTTGACTGAAAGCCTTACCTATAACATAAATATTTGATTATGATCTATTTTGCATGTTGTATGTATGCTGTGCTGTATTCTTACAGTGAAGTAAGCTAGAGAAAAGAAAATGTTAAAATAATAAGAACAAGAAATATGTTTGCCATTCATTAATTGTAAGTGGGTCATCATAAAGGTCCTCATTCTGGTTGTTTTTGCATTGAGGAGGGGAGGAGGGGTTGGTCTTGCTCCCTCCGGGGCAGTGGGGGCGGAAGAGCTGGAGAAGGCAGAAGGGAAGCTGGAGAGGCGGGCACATTCGGTCGGTGTAACCGTTACCGAAAAAATCTGCACATTACTGGATCCACACAGCTCAAACCTGTGTTGTTGAGGGGTCAGCCGTTCTTTCTTTTTAGGATTTTCACTTTGTCTTCTGTACAGTGCCCCGATCCATTGTAGGGAACATCTGACAAGCCATAAAAGTCCAAGTTTTTAAGATGTAAAACACTGCTATTTCATTAGTAAGGCACTGAAAACAGAACAATAATCTTTTTAAGCAAGAGAACCATTAGTCATGGATGTTTTTGTTCAGTAAACAGCTGGATGCCATCCCCCTTGCCCCTCATCATGGCAGAGCCACCATTTCTCTGGAAGAGGCAGAGAAGAGTCTGACCTGCCCCTTCCCACCCCACCGACTTCTCAGGGTCTTCACAACTGCACTTGGTAAAATAAGCCACAAGGAAGCTTCTGGTTGCTTCGAGGGACATTAGACCCTCTCACTCTGTCTGTGATTTAGGGATGAGGGGTGGGGGGCTCTGCAGAGAAGCTGGGCAAGCCCTGTGACCTTATGCTGCTTGTGACCCTACACTGCTCATGACCCTATGCAGCTCACTGATGGTCTTTTGATCCTTAATCTGCCCAGAGTTTTGCTTCCATTAAGGATGATTCCTCCCCCACTCTCTTCCACCCTCTCTATCTTCCCTCCCACTGTCTTTGTCTCTCTGCCCTTACTCCCTCGCCCTTCTCTCCCTGGCCTCCTCCCCGCTGAATCCCCCATGGCTGCTTCCTCTCCTGCCCCTCCCCCCGCATAGTCACTGCCTGAAGAGTCCTTGCTCCTCCAGTTTAATTTTTTATTGTGCAAGAGACCATTTCATTTTCCTTCTCCTGTGTCCCATATGACACTTGCAAACACAGCTTTGCCTTAGAAGTTCTTTTCCAAACTATTAAAAGAGCACCGCATACCAGGTTTTACTCCCTCTCCTCTGCTGCCTTTTCATCCTGTCTCCAGCCCTTAAAATGGGAGGGGCCCTCCACTCTCAGGCCCAGCCCCTCCTCTTCTCCATTCTTATGTCTCCTCCAGGTCCTGTGCCCCTGGCTTTGCTTTGTGGGCCTGTCGCAGACTCTAAAACTGGCTCTGACTCCCCAGTGCTGTCTTCTTGGAGCTCCAGACCTGCATGTTCACTGCTATGTGGCATCTTCTAGAACATTTCAAGACAGCGTCCAGAGTGAGACCTGTGATCTTTTACCAACCTCTTCCTCCCCAGTGTACCCTGGGCGGGGAAGAATAGTGCCTACAGAGCTGTGGAAGCGGGAAACTGGAGGTCTTCCAGAGCAGCCCACCTTCTATGGTTGTGGGGCCCCTTCACAGGCCTTGTGTATTGGCTTCCTGAAAGAGACCTCTCCCAATCAGTGTTAATTACCCTTTTTCTCAAGAACTTCTTAAAGTTTAGCCTCCTCCTCACAGATACCCTAATGAGGTAACAGGTGTGAATTCTCCTTTTTATTTTTTTTAAAAAACCTTTCCCATTCCATTTGGGAGTGTTGGTATCATTTAACTGAAAAGAATCTGTATTTTATTTATGTATAAACATTTTCCACACGTGCCTTTTTTGCATTTTGTAATATTTAAGTCTTTACGGACATTATATGCTATGAATAATTATAACAAATTAATGAGTTTTATCTGCAGGTTCTTAAAAAAAGCATGGATGGTGTCTGTTTAATTTTGTTTTTTTTTTTTCCTGATACATTTTCACTTTGCAAATGCATTTGATAAAAACTGTAGTAATAATTTCATAGTTCAGAGAAGTGCAAGACATAATATCATAATAAACAGAGTTTTGCTATGGGAAACTAAAAAAGGCATTCTTACCTCGTGGCCCATCGTAAATAATGGGCATTGTAGATAATTCTGATGTCTGTCTTCAAACTAAATTCTGTCAGTTTAGAAATCCTATATTACTTGGTTTTATTTTCCAATGATTTAAAAATCATTAAAATGATTAGAAAATAAAACCAAGTAATTTGGAGTGTATTTTCTATACATTCTTTGTCTTCTGTTGGAACATCCATTGGTGTGTATGGATATCACAGTCGATAGACTGAGAAATGAGTCTGTGACTCCTGGAATTGGTTCCTCCACAAAGTCTAAGATCCAGCTGCACCCACACTGTCCACTGACGGCGTGAGACCTTTAGCCTGTGTGTCATTAGACTATTGAGCCCTTTGGCCTTTTAAATATATATATATATGATCGGGAAATAAATTCTCATTTAAAGGTGGGTGTAGTACATGATTTTAGCATTTTCTTAGGAACGCCAGTGTTTAAGAGAAAACAAATCACTTAGCTCTGGCATTATCTTGTCTTCCCAGGTGTACCTTGAAAGACTCTTAACATACGCAGAGATAGATATCTGTCCGGCCAACTGGAAGCGGATTGTTCTGGGGGCGATCCTGCTGGCCTCCAAGGTGTGGGATGACCAGGCTGTATGGAATGTGGATTACTGCCAGATCCTGAAAGACATCACGGTGGAGGACATGTGAGTGGTGGGGCTTGTCAGAGTCTCAGCCAGACTGTTTGGGAAGAAAGCTGCCTCCTTTTTAAATGATCCATATGGTACAGAATGAATGCATTTGAGTGAATGTCTGTTGTGAGTTGGAACAACAGGGGCGTGGTTGTGTAATATTGTATATGAAAACCTGCATTTCTCATCATGTGGATCACGAACAGGTACTGGTGATACCTCCTGGTTTTGTGAAACTGGTTTATGGAAATTGTAGTAGGCAAACACTCCTTTAATTAGAAAGGTGTGTGCCGAGCACAGGTAGCAGCCTGTGATGGTTTGTATTTGGGCTTCTTATCTTACTGCAGACTGTTCACAAAGAGGTAATGCCCCCATACAGTCCTTTGTGGGCTATAAGCCGATCCAAAAAGCACAAAAGCTAAAATATTTTATGTTTTTGTTTAGTTTGACAGAGAACAGATTCACTGCTTTGTCATGTTTTGCAGATTCAGTTGCTTCAGGTCAGCCTTGTGTCCCTGGGGCTCCCAAGTGCAGCATGAGCAGGGTTCGGGGAGGGGCATTGGCCTTGGGGGTAGTGGGGGCTGAGAGCTGTTCACTCCCCTAGCTTTCCAGGCAGTGTCAGGTTTCTCAGATGGACCAGTCTTTGATTGAGGTAAGGATTATTAGTAGGACACTTGCATTCTATTGTCTGGGGGGTCTTTAGGGACTGGGAATCCAGGAACTGAGTTCGGAGCCCTTGGGGAAGAAGGAACTGTAGAAAGCAATCGGATAGCACTACTTGACTTACAGTTCCTTATGGTTTACAGTCACTTCTGACATTATTGTAGCTAAAACTTTCCTCACACTTTTTGTTTGGCAAACCTCCTCAAGGAGACTTTGTCCCAGTCTACGCTCATGTCCTACCCCCAGTAACCCTCGGATGAAGGAGCTTCTCAGTGCCTGTGACAGCTGCCACTGCAGGGGCATCTCTGGGCTGCAGACTTGTGGGCATGTGGGTTCTGGATTCCACAGCAGCCTCGGGCCTCCTTGCCTGTGGTTACTGACTCCCTGAGCACCCATTGTTCTGGTATGGTACCCTTTGAAGTGTGCTTGCTTATGTTGTCAGGGTATTTGTCACAGAGCCTATTTCTGTGGCAGACCATAAAATCTCATCCTGTGTGTGTAGTTCTGTATTACATAAAGTAAGAAAAACATAAGGTTTTTAAAATCGGAACTATATAGTAAGAAAAATAAAATTCTTGATTATATTTCATGGTGAAAACAGCTACTAAAATAGTTGTCATTCAGATCATAAAGGAGATGGACATTTGGGTGCAAGGTATAAGAAATTCTGGCCTGTTTGCTTTATTAAGGATTATTCTTTCCTCAGCACCTTGGTATCGTTTGACACTGAACTGCACACATCACATGATGACTTCCTGGCTGTCCCCTCCTGTTAGGTGTTACCCAGGTTCTGTGAGAGCACAGAGGACCCCCACCATGACTAGGTGTTCCCACTCAAAGTCAGAATGCCTGATGAGATTAGGCTTAGTCTTAAATATTTTTATTTATATGTTAGCTCTATTTCCAAAAGGAAGTGAGAGACAAATGCAGATGACCAGAGCAGCATGAAAATGAAAGAACAGAAAAATGACCAGTGAAGAACATTAGAGGTGTGGAGGAGATGCCGTTTGTACTTTTATGCTTAACCCACCAGGTTTAATTCACCAAAATGCTAGCAGACTAAATTTTCATGGAAACTTAGGCTCAATGGATAATCCTTAGTTGATTTAAAATTTTTGAGGAAATGTTTATAAAGTATTTGTCAGGGAACACACATGGCCCAGATCATGCATGTGTCAGTTGAATCCTCTCAGCAACCCTGTGATATGTGCACTGATATCCACGTTACAGATCTGGATACTGAGACCTAGAGAGGTTAAGTAATGCTGCAACACAGTAACCACGTGGGGAAGTGTATCCCCACCTGATTAGGAAAGGCTCACCTTTCTTAATCCCGGGGACCATTCATTAGACAGTGGTCAAACGGAAATGATGTTTACTGGTCCTCAGTTAGGGAGACGTTTTAACTAAAGGACTGAAACATTCAATTTTAAGTTTTCCTACTCTCCTTAAATAAAAATGTGGGAGGGTAAAGTAACAGGTAATTTGGAATTCTAGGTGCTCAGTTTCTATTCATTGAAGGTTTAAATTCAAGACATTAAAAACCAGACAATTACCAGGAATATTTATAATCGCAGTAACAACAACAACAGCAGCAGCTATCATATATTGAACACTTCCTAGCTAAAAAAAAAATGACTTTTCTGTGTTAATTCACATCTCACGTTTTTCGATGAGGCGGTACTATTATTATTCCCTGTTTACAGATGAAAATGAGGCACTGAGAATTAAGTAAGATGCCCACCCAATCACTTGATTAATAAGTCAATAATCAGACTTATTAGAAAAGAAATAAGAAAAATGTATGTTTCTTCTCTTCTAAGCAGTTGGAGCTACAGTTGTTTCATTTATCTTATACTTAATTTTAAAAAAAAACCTATTTTTTGTAAGTCAACTCTTTTTCTACACAGAGAAGTTAAAACAGTTGGCCAGGGTTCATTCAGCTGAAATTAACTTATTATCAAGAATTGTTTTCATAATAATAGCCTTAATATCTCTTCTTTTGTTGGGCATTTGGTACCTTAAGCAATTACAATAAGGTTGGATTTTTTTCAAGTGCAAAATAGTAATAGTTACTATATTGAATGAAACTCATTAAGAATTGGAAAGAATCGGCACTATTGTTAGTAAAATAGGATTGATGCTAAAATTCTGTTCCATATTTTGTCCAAAGAAAATTGATAATTTTTTAGCGTGTTTTTTGTTTTTTTTGAAAGCCATTGGTGCCCAGGCTACCCCATCACCATCTGAGCCACTGGCTGAACCTTAGTGACTCATGCAGCACTGGATCAGTGCCCCACATGCCTGGAGCTGGGCAGAGGAAGGAGGCATTCAGGAAGACCTTATGTTCCTAAAAGGTCTGACCGTAAATAGTTATCCTGAAGAAACTCTGGAGTGCCGCCTTGTTCCACTGCCCTCTGCCAGGCTGGAGAACAGATCCTGGGGACATGCAGCTCAGGCGCCCTGTGCTCCTCTGCTTTCCTTGCAGAGCCCTCAGTTTCCCTGCAGGGGCAAATAAGCGAGCTTTCCCTTGGAGCTCCTGAGCAGGGAGAGGGCTCACAGGTTTCAGATGGAGAGCTTTTCATATGGGGTTTTTGGAAATGCTTGTTTTTCCAGGTACCCTTCTTCCTGCCTTCTCTGTGTCCCAGCTTCCTGAAGGGACCTTCCTGGTATTTTTGACCATAGGCTAATGTCCTGCTCAAGAATTATCCAGCAGTGAGAACTTAAAGAGTCCCCCCATGTACCTTTGGACAGCAGGGTTCTGGCTTGGAAGGCAGCTGACTGTGTGCTTGTGCATCCATGGGTGCAGGCTGAAGAACATCATACGACGAGTGTCACTGGGACTTGCAGGTAGAACAGTCAGGGCACCAGGCCATGTGGATAGTCACCAGCGCCAGTCAGACGTTAGCTTCAGGCAGACCTCATGTGAGAAGATGGGGCCGAGGGACAGCCAGAGCTCCCACTCTTGCCAGCAGTCAGTGGTCATGGCATCACAGGCCAGCTTAGAGCAAGAAGTGGCAACTGCTGTGGTTGGGGAAAGGACAGTGAAATTTCCCTGCACAGAGTTCTGTAGGCAAAAATGCTGTAAAAAAGAATTACACCTCGAGGTTTGTCTGTTTCTTGTTTTTGTTTTGCATTGCTCCTGCATCATTTTCATGTGTAGGCAAATCCAAATAAGGAGAAATCAAGTGACTGGTCCAAGTGTTGCATGGCACAGGAGGTCCCAGAGAAGGAACCTCAGTTCCTCTGTGTCTGGCATTGTTTTGTTTTTAAGTTGTAAAATGTATGGAGCATAAAACTTACAATTGTAGCTGTTTTTAAGTGTACATTTCTGTAGCATTAAGTACATTCATATTGTTGCACAAACATTACCACCATCCATCTCTAGAACCCTTCATTTTCACAAACTCAAACTCTGCTCCCATTAAACACTAACTTGCCTTTCTTCATTCCTCCTGCTCCTGGTCATCACTGTTCACTTTTTGTCTCCATGCACTTGACTTCCCTAGGGACCTGACACAAGTGGGATCATACAGTCTGTGTCCTTCTGTGTCCGGCGTGTTTCACTTGCCATAATATCCTCAGGGTTCGTCCATGTTGTAGCATGTGTCTGAATTTCCTTTCTTTTTAGGGCTGTGTAATATTTCATTGAGGGTATGTGCCCTGCTTTGTTTATCCATTCATTCATCCATGGACACGTGGGTTGCTTCCACATTACGCTAGTAGTAATGGAGGCTGTGAGCGTGGCCGTGAAGATACTCTTCCAAGACTCTGCTTCTATTTTCTTTTGAGAAGTGACCCTAGTTTCTAGAAAAGTGGGCAGCATATTAGATGATTAAAACAACTCTTTTTATAACATTTTAGAGTTCTGAATTTTATAACATTTTAGAGTTTCAAGTTGCTGAATACACTGTTGATCTAATGTAACAAATATTTCTGAAATGTGCTTTTTGTTGATTGACTTGAATATATTTCTTACAACGTTTTATACCAAAACTGTTTCTTCCTAGTTATCTAAATGCAGATAGTGAATCCATAAGGCCCATTCTTGGCATCACATTAGTTTTATGATGATTTATCACATAGCAAGCTGTCAGTCTCCCTGTAATAGATAATGCTTCTGCAGGTTGGAAAGTCAAGTTTGGGAAATTATTTTTATTTTCTATATCTTTAGAAAAAATTTTATTGTTTGAAGACACAGCAGCTCTAAAATCTCTTATTTCCCCAAAGCTTACCCAGAAATTGAAGCTTGGAGAAAGGTTGTTCTGTTTTCCAGGGAATGCTGGGAAAATGCCACCTCGTTGAAAAGCAACTTCCTCTTGCCTTTGCTCATAGTGTCTGCCTCCATCTGGAACCATGGTGTCTGTTTATCATTTCAGGCAGGATTATCAGGCTGTTCTCTTAGAATAGTAAGCCCTTCTTAGCACTGGGGAGAATATGCTTTGCAGTGATGCCTGTTGGCCACCAGACGGCGGTGTGTCCGCAGATAGCTCCCAGGTTGCTCCTTGGATGTTTATGTTGGCACTTCTGGCCTTAGCGGTGCTTCTGACACTTTCGTTTCATTGAAATCTTACCTGGGTTCCAGTATTTCACAGGATGATCTCTTACTAAATCTCATTTAAATGAAACAATTTTTTTTTTTTTTGAGACAGAGTCTCGCTCTGTTGCTTAGGCGGGAGTGCAAGGGGGTGACCTCAGCTCACTGCATCCTCTGCCTCCTGGTTCAAGTGATTCTCCTGCCTCAGCCTCCCAAGTAGCTGGGATTACAGGCCCCTGCCACCACGCCTGGCTAATTTTCTTATTTGTAGTAGAGATGAGGTTTCACGATGTTGGCCAGGCTGGTCTCGAACTCCTAACCTCAGGTGATCCACCCACCTCAGCCTCCCAAAGTGCTGGGATTACAGGCGTGAACCATCACACCCGGCCTAAATTCTTGAAAACTATAAGAAGTAGTACAGTAGATACATTTGGAGCTTGTTACAACTCCTTTCACAAGACTGTGTGAAAACAAGCAGTGACGCTCTCCATCTGATGAAAAGACCGGAATGGGCCCTCCTTGGGCCCCCTTCCTAGCCGCCTGCCCACAGGTCCCAGTGTTCCTTTGCCCAGCAACTTCTGTCTCCCCAGATCCACTGGCCTTGCTCAGCCCCAGCCTCCCTGCCCACCTCCTTACTGCTCCTGTCCTTTGTCACAGCAGCTTGAGCCGGCATGGAGCCCTCCTCAGTCCCTCATAGCTGAGTGCTGTGATTCACCAGGAACACATAGGGGTCTTGGGACACCACTCAGGACAGGATGGTGCCTGCATGTGGGAGCCCAGACCCAGACCCTCAGCGTTCAGCGGAGTTGGCGGGACATAACACAGAATGCCAAGGCTGGGATCAGGGTCGGGAGGGCGGAGGCCCTGCTAGGACCTGAGCTTCATTCACAGGAAATGGTGATGGTGTGTCCTAGCCGCCTGCGGCAGGTGCAGGTGGTTGGAGGGGATCCACTCTGCTGGAAACCCCTTCCCCAGCCCTGGTTCCTCTCTGCCAGAGCTCCATGCTTCCCTCACCTCAGATCAGCTCTCACTGCTGTGGGAAGCCTTCTGATAGGTCCCATGCTGGGGGTAGGCACAGAAAAGCAGATGCTGCTGTTCCCGGCTATGAGGAGACCAGCCAGAGAGGCTGAGGCCAGCAGCCCAGGCTGCACAGTGTGAGCAGGGACAGGAGGTACCTGGATGGTGTGCAGTGGGTGGGCACCTGTGGGGCTTCCTGGGGAGAGTGTGCTGAATCTGAGCGCCTGACCTAGAACCCGTGCTCCACAAATAGTTCCCTCACTGAGAAGCTTCCCCCTACCCAGAGGAACTGTCTAGAAAGAAACCTAATTTGAAAGTTCTCAAAGTAGTTTTTAAGTTTTTTCCAGCAACCCATCAACATGTAGATGGGCTGGCAGCGGGGATCTTAGCACCTCCTCTCCTGTCATACCTTTTTAGTTGAGTGGTTCTCAGAGTATGGGGCTGGGGTGATGGCCTCAGCCTCACCATCACCTGGGAGCTCCTTAGAAATGCACATTCCCAGGCCCCACCCCAGACCTACTGATACCCACAGTGTGAGGGTGGATCCCCATGTCTATTCTAACAAGCCCACCAGGTGATGAGGTACGTGTTCAAGTGTGGGAACTACTGCTTCCACTCTTCCCGGCTTGTGAGTTCTCTTTTTAAGAGACTGAGGCAAGAAACCTGATGCCCTCTTCCCCCAATCCCTACCTTTTGCTTAAGAAATCCACTACACAGTTCCTCCCCTCTTTTCTCCCTGGAGGCAGGGAGGGGCCAGCAAGGAAGCCAGGTCTGCAGAGGCTGTTTGCTCTGGGCACCTGATTAGGGCCCTCCTGTACTCACGTGGCAGCTCTTAGCTGCTCCGTCTGCCCTGTGTTAGCAGCCTTGTCTCTTGGAGGTGTGCAGCCAGAGCCTGCTGTGTATGTTAGATCTCAGCAAAGTGACTCACCCTGAAACCCTTCCTGGTGATCATCCCAATTAATCAGTCCTCATCCATCCGAGCACCAGATCAAGTGGATTTGGCTTTTAACCCCAATGTGGTGGTTAGACTACAACTCTGGTGTGCAGCCAGGCGTTTGATTAGATCACTAGTCTCCCTGGAGGATGCAGTTTTCTGGAGTCTGGTCTCCAGCAACTTGCCTTGGCAGGCCATGCGGCCTGGTGTGCGGCTAAACACGGGCTATTTTTGTCTTTGCTTTGCAGGAACGAGCTAGAGCGACAGTTTCTTGAATTGCTGCAGTTCAACATCAATGTTCCTTCCAGTGTCTATGCCAAGTATTATTTTGATCTTCGTTCTCTGGCAGAAGCAAACAACCTGAGCTTTCCCTTGGAGCCCCTGAGCAGGGAGAGGGCTCATAAGCTTGAGGTAAGATGCTTTAAAACAGCGTTTCTTTGTGTGCTGTTTTAGATGCATCATCTGAGGGCCAGGGACACATGGTCCCATGGATTCTTATTATTTTTAGACAGAGTTGCCAGGCTGTTGCCCAGGCTGGAGTGCAGTGGCACCATCTCAGCTCACCACAACCTCTGCCTCCCAGGTTCAAGTCATTCTCCTGCCTCAGCCTCCCAAGTAGCTGGCACTACAGGAGCATGCTACCATGCCCAGCTAATTTTTGTATTTATGGAGTTTCACTGTGGTTGGCCAGGCTGGTCTTGAACTCCTGACCTCATGGTCTCATGATCTGCCCACCTCAGCCTCCCAAAGTGCTGGGATTACCAGTGTGAACTGTTGCAGTTCTATTTTGAAATCAAATATTTTTTAAGACACATATCTTTACAGATAGGTTTAAAAAAAACCATAAGCCCCTCTAAAAAGCATTTTCCACAATATAAGTCCCACAAAAACGTAGTTCCCAGCACGTGCCTTTATAGGCAAAAGCTGCCAGATGATATTAACAATCGAGAATCCAAAAAGGTTGATTCCGCTTTTGATTTTTTTTTTCAGTCTCCTTTTTCCATAGCCCAGTTAGAGCTGGGGGCAGCACTATCAGTCTTGGTCTGGTTTTCTTCTTTTTTTTTGAGATGGAGTCTTGTACCATCACCTGGACTAGAGTGCAGTGGCACACTCTTGGCTCACTGCAACCTTTGCCTCCCAGGTTCACATGATTCTCCTGCCTCAGCCTCCTGAGTAGCTGGGATTACAGGCACATGCCACCACGCCTGGCTAATTTTTTATATTTTTAGTTGAGACGTCGTTTCACTATGTTGGCCAGACTGGTCTCGAACTCCTGACCTTGTGATCCACCAGCCTTGGCTTCCCAAGGTGCTGGGATTACAGGCATGAGCCACCATGCCAGGCTGGTCTTGGTCTGGTTTTTGGGCTGTCATTGTTGAGCTGCGTAACTTTGGGTCTCCTCACAGCATATTTGTATGTGGCTCTTCCTCCTCATATGTTCACCAGACTCTTCCCACCTGAGCTTTTGGCAGGAGGAGAAGGGGTGGGGTGGTAATTAAGCAGGATCCCTGGGGAGAGACCTCTCCTCCAGAGAGAGTATGCCCCAGCCTTTCCCCTCTGCACCTTTCTCCCAATCCTGCCTTGGCCTCATCCCACAGAGCCTTTCTGAGTGGTGGAGGCACAATGTCCCCAGCTCATGAGACCCAGAGGTCCTCGTGCTGACCACTCACTGTCCTTCCCAGACGGGACGTCATCACTCAGTGCAGGGTTGATGTGGCAGCACGACGGCCTGGCCACATTGTGGGCTGGAGGTGGGAGAAGAGAGCTGTTATGGGTAACGTGCTTACAAAAGAAAACATTAAATCAGCATTTACAAAGTAATACGTTAATCCCAAGAAGTAAACTTAGTAAACCATAGAAAAGACTGGGTGCACAGCACTGGATTAGAACTAAGAATCCAGTGAGAGTTTCAGAACTCGGCCATGCCTCTGTGATTGTGTGCTGGCCTTTAGAATGGAAAGCCCACCCCATCCTCCAGTTCTCATCTGTTCGAGAGGACAAATGGAAAGCCCTCCCTCTGTAGGATTTGCTGCAAGGCAAATACGGTGAAACCTTGGTGAGCACGGATGTGAGATAGAATCCCGCTTTCCCAGAGAGTGTGAGCCCCCTCAGCCTGCGCTGTAGTCCCTGGTCCCCTTCGTGTGCAGCCATGGCTCCAGCGGCTGCTGCAGTGCCAGCGAGACAAGCCAGAGCTCCTGGCAGCTACGCAGCCCTGGAGGGAAGCAGGTCTGTGTTCTCTGCTGAAGAATATCTGAGGCTCCGGGTCAGCTGCCCTGAAAGCACAGGCCGAGGTTGGTGGAGTCAGCGCCTGCTGTTCCCTCTGTTAGATTTCTCCAAGTGCTGAGAAGGAAGAGCTCGCTTGCTTCTGGGGCTGCTGTGGGTTCACAGGGCCCTTCCCGGGGCCCTGCGGGTTCACCAGGGCAGGAGAAAAGGCCAGTCATGTGCTGACAAGGCTGCTCTTTCTCTTCTCCAAATAATCAAAAGCCTCCCACGACCCAGACCATCCCTCCAGGGACAAGCGGGCTCAGCCTTTGCCATCAGCCAGTTCTAGCCATAAACAGCTTGTTTTTGTGATCGATCCACCCTGGGTCCCTCTTTTGGCAACCTCTACAGGTGATGCAGGTCCTCCATCCTTTTCTGCTGAGTCCCTGGCTGGTGGTCTGCAGCTGCCCTCGCCCCCTGGGGCCAAGCTCTCCTCCCTGTGAGGCTCAGGGAGCCTCCTCTGTGCTTAACGCCAGCCCTGCCGTCCTTGCCCTGCTTGTAGGTGAGGACGCCAAGGATTGGAAACAGCGAGCGTGTGGGCAGGGCCAGTCCAACACCCCTAGGTGGGGAGAGCGTTTACCCCAGTCGGGCCGCCTGTGGGGCGACGCTGTCCTGTTATTTCACATTCTGAGAGTCTTTTCTCAGACTGGGAGCTCTTGGGAAACGAGCGGAGTCTACACTCCCTTCCTATCTCTCTGCGGCCCGCAGAGAGCTGGGCTGTGGGCCCGAGCTCCGCAGGGGCAGGGGCTCTGCCTGTCCGCCATGCAGGGCCCTTGGCGCCCAGGATGAGTGAGCGATGGGTCCAGATGTGGCCCGTCTTGACCCCGCACTGCCTCTCTTGCCCCTCAGGCCATCTCTCGCCTCTGCGAGGACAAGTACAAGGACCTGAGAAGATCCGCGAGGAAGCGCTCAGCCAGTGCGGACAACCTGACTCTGCCCCGGTGGTCCCCGGCCATCATCTCCTAACCGTGGAGGCCCGCCGGAGGCCACACCATCCCTTAAGTTTCTCCTTTAGTTTGAGAAAAGACAGACTTGGGGTGGGTTTGTTTTTGTTTTTTATTTCCTTTTTTAACGCATAGCTCCGTCGGCTGCCTGGATGAGCACCCACGCAGCAAGGCTTGGAGGAAGCGTCAGTGCCCTGGAGATCCCGGCTCACTCTCCCCACTGTCAGCGGCGCTTCCCTCGTGGAAGAAGCGGACTCGAATCCTGGAGGAGGAAATAAAGCGAATGGGAAGTCGTGGAGAGGCAGGGAAAATGGTTAAGCAGCCGGCCCTCTGGTGTCCCCTTGGGGGCGGTAGCTGAAGTTGGTGAGCGCCGCAGTGGATGCAGAGCTGGCTCCACCCGGGGCTGGGCCGGTGTGTCCTGTAAGACTTCTTGCATTCCTTCTGCTGCTTTTTTGGGATGGGGGATTTTTGTTCATTTGTTTTTGCCCTGTTTTGGTTTTGGTCCCACAGAGCAGGGGATGTAGTTTGTACCCATCATGGCGCAGACTTCCAAATAAATAGTACTGGTCATTTCTCCGCACTATTTCTGCGCGCTGTCTTCTGAGCTTTCTTCCTCACCAGTGGGCTATGCTCGTTCCATTTCTGTGCACCCTTATTTTATACCGTTTTTCTTCAACAATGGCAAAAGTAACTTGACTGTAGTGCTGAACCAAAAGTACCCCGTTCCCTCCTTACACCCCAAGAACATTCTAGATCACATGGGTGCTTGTGCCTTCCGATTTTCTTGCATTTGTTTTTTTCCTGGCCTGAAGTTGTCATTACAAAATCAGTCAGACTTTGTGGGCTGAAGGACGCCGTGCAGCAGAGGGTGTCCTGAGAGCCTTCTCCAGAGTGCTGGGCGTGGCCCGAAGCTACTGAGTAGGAGCCATTTCTTTGTACCCCTGCCTGATTCATTCCTCTCCTTACAAGTCCATTGTTGCAAGCAATATTCTTCTCAATTTTTATATGTTTACTTTAAATCGAAGTTAGTCTATTTGTATAAAATTTTTTAAAAATCTAAAATAAAAAAAAAAAAACAAGGATGGGTTGGGTATTCCAGTGGGAAGATCATTGAAGGGAAAAATGTTACTATTTACCGAGGTATTTTTCACAGAATGATTGAATAAAAAAACCCAACTTGCATTTTCATTGTGGGTGCTTAGAGAAGTTCTACAAAATTCAAACTGTGAAGGTTTATGCTTCATTAATTATGACCGTACTTTTTCATTTTCTGATGATCCCTGATTTCCTTACGGGCTCAGTAAGAATCTTTTATGTCAAGTAAAATAAAAGAGGTAATGATAGAATATGAAATAGCGAATTTGATCTAAAGTCTGAGAGTGTGAGTCACTTGCATGTATGATGCTTTGGGTTTTTGCATATTTTCTTAGGTCTCGGTGACAGGTTTCTGAGTTGTTTCCCTTTTCAAGTCTCTGGGAGGCCAGTGGCGGCAGCAGGTCTGTGTTTCACCTTCTTCCCATGTGAGCTTGGAAAACCTTGGCATCTTAATTAGTCTCGAATCATACACCTGATCCCCAGACATTGCCTGCTCTCAATGAAACACGATTTGGAAATGGAAGGGACTCAGAAAGTCAAAATCCCAAGAACACCAAGCCAAAAGTGTCAGGTTTTGGTGACATTTGTGTCAGGTACAAGCATACCTGTTTGGGCCAGAATTATTATCACAGCCTTTTTGACCCAAACTTTCAAAAGCAAGCAAACAGAAGATAAAATGTTAATTATCTTTCCATTGTAATTGTGATGATCTACTCTGTATGGGTACCAAAATCAGCTTCTCTCTTCAAGTCAGAGTTGAATTTAGAACTTTAAATACAGGTCTAAAAATGTAGAAAATATCATTTTATATTCCCTAATCTATATAGCTGAAAAAGGGATGTATTTTCTTAGCTGAATATTAATACCTCTTAAACATAAATTAGTTCCTCTCAAGCGAAGTATCTTATTTTACCGATCCATTTCAGGAAAGAGGTTCTGCTGCCTTAATAGCAGAAATTTTATTTTTATCCCTTTTATTTGAATGAGAGATTTGCAAATCAAATTATGTAAATATTTCAATGCATCTGCTATTATTTTGTGGAGTTTATTAAACTACTTTAAAAAATTGTATAGTCTATTTATTGTATGTATGTACATACAGTCTGATACCTAAAATTTAAAGTGGATTCCATAAAACCTGACTCAGTCTTGTTTAGACTACTGAATACTGTTTTAGCCTGTGCCCTGGACTCTACCTCTGTATAGGAAAATTTTCCATATTCATTAATTAGTATTGATCTGTATGAATTGGTTGTTTCTTGCACTAGGGATGTTTAAAACTGCTGTAAGTGTAGATTTAAGTTTTACTGGCAGGATTTTCACTTGACACATAGGTAGATACTTGAGGTTCATTTTCTTTTCTTTTTCTACATGATGATGAATAGTTATGTTTTCTTCTCTGATTTGTGCAAAGTTTGCCAAAAGAAAACACGAAACCAGTACAGTACCTATTGATAAATCATAGTGACTGTAATTTGTTTGTAAGGCGAATTAATGCTCTACCATTAAAGCTGGATTACTATTGAGGAACACATTGTCTTAGTGTAGTTTTTGAATGGAGGGTTTTTGTCATTAATGAAGGATGAAGGAAACCACACAATTTGTTGATTTTAATTTTAGATTTGATTTAAACAACAAAGTCATTGGGACAATAAATATCCCGGTGAATCTTTTTGGCTTGTTTTACTTTTTTTTTTTAAACTTAGAAAAAGGGAAAGAAGTCAGGTGTTTAAAACCGAATTGGAGTGCAGATGAGAAATCCTGTCAAGATCAGAATGTGCCTTCATGCAGAGGTGAGGCCAGAGGTGTTGGCACCCATCCTGTCCCCTCTTCTGGGCTGGCTTTCTGCCTGCTTTTTCTCGGGCTTGGGCAGGGCATCTCCATCTTGGGTTTCCTTTAAGCTAAGCTGCAAAGCAGAATTTGGAGAGTGAACAATTTTAACTTGTCCTGCTGCTTATGATAACTTCTCCCCTGGGGCCATATTTTACAGATTTTAAATTTATTATTTATTCATTTTTGAGACAGAGTCTCGCTCTGTTGCCCAGGCTGGCGTGATCTGGGCTCACTGCAACCTCCGCCTCCAGGGTTCAAGCACTTCTCCTGCCTCAGCCTCCTGAGTAGCTGGGATTACAGGCGCCTGCCACCACACCTGGCTGATTTTTGCAGTTTTAGTAGAGCTGGGGTTTCACCATATTGGCCAGGCTGGTGTCGAACTCAACCTCAAGTGATCTGCCCACCTCAGCCTCCCAAAGCACTGGGATTGCAGGTATGAGCCACCGTGCCCAGCCCAGATTTGAAATTTTTAAAAAATAAAACATGATTCCTGGTTATTGTGGTATCTAATTACTGTTAAATAAATACATATATAGAACAAAATAGTTCTGCCTTCCTGCTGTATTTTTTGAGTTATTATTTTGAGATAAAATTCAACAGGTTTATGGATGCTGAGTGAACCAGTTCTTTGCAAGGGCAGTGGCAGAAAGTGGCACTGGCCCTGTGTTCTCGATCGACTCACGGAAGTATGAGAGGTACTCCAGCAATTGCGAGGTTGCACAGTAGAGACCCAGTAGAACTTGGCACCTTCATATGGATACCCCATTTTGTCTGAAATCACTTTATCTCCCTGGATGTCATTGGCGTCAGCGTCTTGAGTGGGTCTGAAAGACGTTAATGATCTGAAAAGTCAGCCATAGTGAGGTCCACCCCTTGTTGAAAAAGTGAAGGAAACAAGACACATGCCCTTGCGTGGAGATTGAAAAACAATATGTAACTTGGGTTTTAGATTTTTTTTTTGAAACAGAGTCTCACTTTGTCACCCTGCCTGATGTGCAGTGGCACAATCACAGCTCACTGTAGCCTTGAACTCCTGGGCTCAAGTGATGCTCCTGCCTTAGCCTCCCTGGGATGATGGGCATGTGCCACCATGCCCAGCTAATTAATTTTTAATTTTCTTTTGAGATGGAATCTTGCTCTGTCACCCAGGCTGGAGTGTAGTGGCACAGTCTCAGCTCACTGCAACCTCCGCCTCCCAGGTTCAAGAGATTCTTCTGCCTCAGCCTCCCGAGTAGCTGGGAGTATAGGCCCCCACCATCACACCTGGCTAATTTTTGTATTTGTAGTAGATAGGAGGGTTCACCATATTGGCCAGGCTGGCTTTGAACTCCTGACCTCCAGTGATCTACCTGCCTCTGCCTCCCAAAGTGCTGGGATTACAGGTGTGAGCCACTGCCCTGGCCAGACTAATTTATTTTTAAATTTTCTCTAGGAATGGGGGGGTCTTGCTTTGTTGCCCATGCTGGTCAAACCCCTGGCTTCAAGCACACCTCTTGCCTCACCCTCCCAGGGTGTTATGTCCTAAGCTGCCTGGGCTTCAAGGCAAGGCCTGCAAACAGCTTGATGAAGGTGCTGACTTGCTGTTATTGAGAGCAGCACCCTGCTAGAGCTGTTGCACCCAACCAGAGCTGGGGGGCTGCCCCAGAGTGTTTTCAGTCGCCGTGGTGGGACTGGAGTTTGAGCCTCCAAGTCAGCGGGCTCCGTGCTTGGTTTTCTTGTTAGCTTTTTTTACTAGGTTTGCATATGTGAAGGGGCTAAAGGTCCTGTCTGTCTCTGCCCTCAGCAGTGATAACCCCAAAATGAGCTTCTTCATCTTCAGGTGAGACTCTGGCGGCTGCTGTTCACGTGCACTGTGGCAGGTCTGAGCTGGACACAGCACCCAGGTGAGGACGTCCTGGCAACTGTATCTGTCCTCGCTGGGTCTTTGTGGAAAGAGTTCTGCAGAACCTGTTACAGTAAGAAGGAAAGACATCACGTCTGACTTGATGTTCAGATTCTACAGGTCTCCATAGATTCCCTGTCTCCTTTAAGTGACTTGCTTTCGGTCGGGGGCTTTCCTTTTAAGAATTTTTGTTTATATAAAGAAGTTATTTCAAATATGTGATAAAAGAACAGCATTATAAAATAGAGTTTGGGATAGAAATATTAATGTAATGAGAATTTATGCATAACGTGTTAACATTGGTATTGATCTGTGCGGTCATGGAACCTTGGGTTTTAGTCTCAGACCAAAAAATTACCTTGCTCTGTGACCTTGGACAAATGACTTACCTCTCTGGGCCTCTCGGTGACCTTGGCTGTGAGGGAGACTTGTTTTCATCACCTTTGTTTCTCAGCATTGCTCAGCCATTCAGGCACAGCTCTTGGATGCTTCTCTAGATACAGCAAGGCTGGGTGTAGTAAAAGCCAAGTGCACGCGTAACGGAGACGGAACGCTCGGGACCAGGGGAAGTCGGTTGTGTTCTCTAGGCGCTCTCCTAGAGAAGGGCGGTGGGTAGAAGCAGCAGGTCTCACAGAACCCGGGTGCCCAGTTTGCCACTGCTGTTCCTCCTTCCCCACCTCTTCCCAATAGAGCTGAACGCTCAGCGTGGCCTCGACTTGGTCGTTCCTGGACTTGGTTTGTGAGTTCTTGTCCACATTGGTGGATCCTGGAAG